CTGACGTATAACTGAAAAGTGTCTCATGTAGAGCAAGGAGCAAGTGGAAACCAAAATGTTCAAGTCCAAGCCCATAATTTCTCGTGGGTAAAGCTATGAACACTGGGTGAGAAAAGCCTGCATCATAATCTCAACAAAAACAATCAATAGCTGTAACATCGTGAATAAAATCCCTCTGAGACAAACTAAATATTAAATAAAAGCTTGGCCCGGGGATTGGCATGCTTGGTGTCTGAGGTGACGGGCATCACATCTCCAGCCTCCTCCCTGCATGTGTTTGACTGACAGACTGCCTGACTGTGACGGCCATCTGTCAGCAGACTCCCTGTTAGACAACAAGAGGCCCGGAGACTCCTCGAGGCCCGGGCGGAGCGCAGGGCTCGGCTGGCATTGCCCATTCACAAATATCTTTTGGGAGGACAGATGGTGCCGAGTTTTCTCCTCATGCATCTTTTCTTCCACCATCAACCATTCCTGCCGCTGCCTCCTCGGCGAGCTGGCACCGCCTTAGTGCCCCCCCGACGTTTCAGCAAAGCTTCATTTAGAAAAAAAATTTAAAAAACAGCCCAAGTGAAAAGGGAGCTCGGAGGCTTTCTGCAGGTACCGAACCGTCCAGCACAGATCCAGGCTCACTGGCCCGGGCACAAAAGGTTTCACATCTCTTCAGCTAAAACTGGCTTCGACCAGCTTCCCCTCCCCCTTAATCTTTGTTTCAAGTCCCGAAAAGATTCAACCAAGCAGATCAGTGTCCTCCCTGGCATGCTGCGACCGTACCGTGCAGGCTGGGAGGGCAAACTGGAGGATAAGGAGCTGGAAGCCCCTTCCTGTGTTCAGGCTTATGGTGACAAATCCTGATTCATCTGCAATGACTTCTTAAACCTCATCAAAGCCTGCAGGACGCACTGACGGATCCCTTATCAAACCCACTGAAATATATTTCTAATTCTACTACAGATTGTTAAGGTCCAGACTAGGACATCCAGCTATGTCAGCAAATCAAATCCTCCACCTGCAAAACACACCACTGACAGAACAGCTACTGAATGTGTTGAGATCGTTTTCTCAACTGCTGATCCAACTTAAAAAGGTCCAGTGTGGAGGATCTGGCGGCACCTAGTGGTGAGGTTGCAGATTGCAACTAACTGAAACTTCTCTTGTGTGCCAAGCGTGTAAGAGAACGACAATGAGCGATGGGTAAAACTCAAAGGGCCCTCTTTAGAGTCAGTGTTTGGTTTGTCCTTCTGGGCTTCTGTAGAAACATGCCGAAATCCGTGAAGAGGACCTGTAGATATAATCGGCTCATTCTAAAGGTAACAAAAACACGATTCTAATTACAGGTGACTATACGTTTAACTTGCTTATTAATATTATATTCCACAAAAACACGATGAATCTCAATTTTTAAACAAACGTGGACAAGAAGCCTGTAGTGGTACCTCCTGTTTCTACATCACAACTGGCCTAACTCCTACGGCTGGTGAGTACCATGTGATATGATTGAAAGCTCCAGAACAGCTACCAGATGAACCTTACAGTAAGATTGTTTTCACTGACTCACTCAGATATCTGTAAGACGCTCATAAAGCACCAAGTACTGAGATTGTTGTCCATAAGTCTTCATGCTTTTACACCGGGGGAGGTTTATTTTGTGCAATGAATTCACAAGTCAATACATATTTTCGAACTGCTGTTTGTGTCATGAATACTTTCACACAGAACAAGAATATTAAACAGCAAAAAAGAAAAGTTTTTTGTCGGAACAAGGCCGATTTTTCTGAGCCAATCACGTTGTGCGTAACAGACATATTCAAAACTTACACTATAGTGCACAACGACATGGAGGCTCCATCTGATCAAAGACGACAAACTTTATCAGACCTTTCAACCTTTTCCAACAAAGGCAGCACAGACCAGATCCACTACTTCTGTTCTTACCTTTCACAATAAAAGCACCAGATGCAAACACAGCGTAACTGTTTACTAGAAGGAACTCAAATTCACTCAGAGCATTTCACTAAAAGGAAACTCAGTAAAATATATCTTACAGTAGCTTTAGGCTATACAACAGTTTACCTCAGACGGACTGTCAGACGCTGATCCCGATCAATACGATCCTGGTAGTTGGTCCTCTGCCTGAGAATCTATTCAAACCTTTTATTGAAAAAGTGTTGCAACTGCATACTATGTCAGCTCCTGATTTGTTGTTAAATTGAAACACATTCAGGTGCCAAAATCCACCGATGCAACAAACTGGAAGCTGATTAGGAGCTATTTTGTTAAAAAAAAGTAGCTCACTAGTTTAACTCTTCCTCATTTTAAACCAACAATAACTGTGAACAACACATTTTAAACATATCACTTTTTAGGTTGACATGTTGAATTTGTTGGCAAACACTTGCTTATTACACATCCATCAGTTATAGATCAACATGATGATTCATTCGGAGTCTTTGCGTTTGTGCCACCTGTTTAATGTAAGTCCAGTATTCTCTCTTTTAGCTCCGTTTTTGGTCTCCTCCTCCAACTCCTGAGGGAAATATCTGTCTCTTTAGCTGCTAAATGCTCCACTATGTTCACCAGCTGGTCTCTAACTGAGTCTGTCTGCTGCTGAGCAGGTAGTGAACAGTGGCTTTATTACAGCTTTAACTCTGAAAACCGGCACTGTGAGAGCGGTGAGAGTGAACCAGAACAGCAAAGTCGTTGACTAAACAGACAAACAACTCACTATAAAGCCGAAAACACACCTGAGTAGCAGCGAAGTGCAGCTAAACTAATGGTAGAAATAGTCACACTAAATCCAGCCAACAAACATAAAGATGTGGCAGAACCCAAAACAGTCCGGGTTTCTCCGTGCTGATGGACTCTACTTCTCTCTTGATTTATTACCTCAGTAAACATTGTAAACATGAGTTTATGGTCTCAATCTCTAGTTTCAAGTCTTCTTCAATACAGCATGATGTTCATTTAGTACATTATGGTCCATTTAGAGTCACACAGACCATAAAGCAGGGGATGCTTTAGGGCGGGCTTACTGTGATTGACAGGGCATCTCTACGTCATTGGTTGCAAAAACAACAACATGGCAACGGCCGTAATCCAAGATAGCGACGGCGAAATCGCCAAACTCAATGCTTGAAAACGTCAATCAATGGATGACGTCACGATGACTACGTCCTCTTCTTATATAAAGTGAATGCTTTGATTGCTTTTTTTGGAGAAAAATTCTCATAAACATGTTTCGAAAAACATTCTGTCCACTGTTCTGAAAGTAGAATTTGTGATTAGATGCTAAAGATTTCAGTGAGCTTTCATTTGAGGACTCGTTGTGGCTTCAATGACATGTGTCCGTAGCAAAGAGTATCAACACGTTTCTGACCTTTATTTCATTATTGTTGGATCAAACAATTTCTGATTTAAACAATGATTTTGTCAATTTTCTTTTCTCAAAGTTCTCGTACAGCTCCTTTAACATCGGGAAACTTTAGCTTCTTTTGATAAATGAAAAAAAAAAAAAAACCTTTGTAGAAAAACATTTCTTTAAAGCTAGGATTGAGTACGCTAAATTAATACAAAACAGCACAGTGTTTCCAACTCCTTTTCAATGAAAGCAGCTAGCAGCACTGGCTCCAACTCTCTACATCTAGGGAGAAACTCTCCAAGTGGTCAACACTTCAATCCCTTCAGGCCTCGTAAACCAACGGTGACGAGCAACGAGCGAACAGGAAGAACACGCACAGGTAGACAAACAGGTAGGTTGTCAGGGCATTTGCTTCATTGATTGCTGTTTCAACAAAAATATCAAAACTGTTTTTGAACATTAACGACCCTGCCTTAATGTATAATGTATTAAAAAAGCACTGAAAACACAGGATTCCAACAATCGTACTGGAGAGCAAACATGATCTCAGATGTTAAATGAGCCAAACACAAGGACGTTGCTGCTGCTGTATGTTAAAGAAAAAGGAGGTTTACTTGCTCTTGAATACTCCTGTCTGGGTACAAAGCTCCATCCTTGTTGGATGTTTCTCAGCATGTTATTTAAAAAAAAAAAGAAGAAAAAAAATCTACTCCTTCACTTTTGCCAACAGGCAGGTTGGAACAGACACCACCGTCCAAACAGACACCGATCAAACCAGGAAACGAGCTACTTTTACAAAACACGTTTCCAAAAACACTTGCACTTTCGACATCACAACAAGTCTCTTCCTGATCAGACACCTCGGGGCTCTGCTGCTTAATTAAATAACTTTACAGTCACAAATCTTAATATTCCTTAATATTATATTTTGTTAAAACATCCATGCATTTCTTACTCTCCTGCACCACCTTAACAGTTCTATAAAAGTCTTCAGGAGGGGAAATAAAACAGTCATGTATTAGTTCACAGTGTTTTGTAGTGATAGTATCTGTTTCTGAGAAAGGCATTATGGGATTACTGCTGCTGCTGTTGTTGTTGCCAGATATGAAGCCTCTGACACCCTTAATAAGCCGGTCAGACTACCGTGTCCAAACTCCTCTTTTCATGCTCTGACAGCTCTGGGTTTTGGAGCCGATATCGTGACGCCCTGCGCCTCTCAAACATTTTAATCTGCGATCCCACAGACCCTGAGAGGAGCAGAGACGCTCATCATGAACGGAAATACAAAAAACATCCACGAGACAAATTTGTTTTTGTTTTAAAACACGATTTGGACTCGTCTCCATTAATGTCTCCAAAGACGCACAACGAGTTACGCACCGCGGGTTTATTTCCGGGAATGAAACAGCAACAACAAACAAAAAAATCTAATTCTAAGAAGAAAAAAAAATACAAAAACGCAGTTTGCACGAGGGCTTCTTTGGTTTGTTTGGGACAGAGCGCACTTCGCAGCTCACCTGCGCAATCACCTTAAAGTTGGCGAAGCAAGTTGAAATCCGTCTCAATAAAACCTCCAGATATGAGGAGATTTAAGGCTTTCTGCGTCATTTGAGGACAAACCGTGGATGGTCGCACGGCTTACCTTGTTGGCAGATGAGGATGAAAAGTGCAGCCGGGAGCTGCCAGCAGCGTGTGGTCTCCATGTTTGAGGTGGTGGTGGGGAGAAAAAAAGCTCGTAGATGCGGTAAATAAACAAAACAGTGATGTTTTTGGGGGGGGGGAGCAGGTCCCGGTCCGCCCGCAGCCCTCACAGCTCCATGTCCCTCCGCTCCTGCCTGGTCGCTCGGTCGGTTGTGGTCTTGCTGTCGCGTATGTGTGGTACAGATCCCGGATCCCGGTGCGCCGCTCCGCTCCGTCCGCTCTCCTCCACACCGGCTGACTGACTGAAGACGAGCCGCCAGAGTGAAGCTGTGCACCGCCCACAGCCCGCAGCCACACCGGCCTCACTTCCTCCACACAACAACCACAACTGAAGCATGACATTTTAGAGTTTTGTAAACGTCCCTTCATTAATCTTTTATTTATCTTTTCATTTATTTTTTGTTTTTATCGAAGCAGGACCGACAGGAGGAGAAATACAACAATAGAGTCATTGTTAGAATTAGGAAAAGTTCAGGGGAGATAAAAGAAAGGGGGACAAATATAATGGAACAATGGAAGAAGAAAAGAAATGAAGGAAAGGGAACACAAAGGAAATAAGATAATATAAAAAAAGAAAATATGATGATGAATAAATGGAAGTAAATAGAGAAAATTTGAAAAAGAAAGAAATAAACCGACAAAATACATTTGAATAAAAAATGATTTGATTCAATAAATTAAGCTTAAATAAATACAGTAGGGCCGGATAAAGTTGTAAGTGGTTCTAAGTGAGCTGTGGGTCCCTATTGAGCCCCCACGTCTCTGTGTTTGTTGTAATAAAAACTGATTATTAAACACTTTGAATCTTCCGATTAGAGGACGACCCGCTCTCCCTCTGAGCCACAGACGCTCCTTTTTATAGTAACGGCAGCGTAAAAACAATGTGAAGCCATGTCGGCCTCCCATCTCTAATAGTAGTAGAGGGCAGAGGTCACATTATCCTGTTAAATGTACAACCATGTCTCTTCCAAATCACAGGAGTCGCCCCCTGATGGCCAGTAGAGAGAATGCAGCTTTAAGACACTTTTCAGAACTGGAGGTTACCGCCTGATCCAAACCAAGACAGCAAACTTTATTACTCCTTCCAACCAGGACCAGAACAACTCCTTTTGTTCTCACCTTCCACAATAAAAGCTCTAGGCATATAATAATTGCAGGCCAGTGTTTTGCATTTTCCTGTTGTTTATTCATCCCGCCCCGGTGTGTAAAGGCCTTAAGGAGGATACACAACAAAGAACGACAAATAACCAAAATGCACATCATCAATCTTCAATAAGCCTCCTCGTGACAGATGAACTTCATCCCTGCAGCCTCGTCAGAGTTTGTCCTTTAAAGTCAGAGGACGTCATCAGCTGTTTTCCGTCTGAGTGAGGCGCAGCGGACCGCGGACAGCAGGGAGTCATTAACACAACGTAAAGAGTCATTGAGTGGAACCACAGGGAGTTTTTTTAAGTGTGTGTGTGGTGGAGTTCACGGGGCGGCCGACCTCCTGACCCCCGAGAGACTTGTCTACCGCTCACTGAAATGGAGACCAAAACATCAGCGGTGAGGAATCACAGATGGCTCTGGGGAATGTGGAACAAGTGTGTGTGAGAGTGTGTGAGGAGTCTAATTGTATGTGTTTGTTTGGTTTACCAGATTATTTTACAACTTGTATCTGACATTTAAAAACTTCTAGACTTCTTAAAAAAGGAACAGGTTTGACATTTAGAGAAATCCTCACGCGCTCCGTTTTCTCCAGTGTCACAAGAGAAGATGGATGTCAACGTCATCTCTGTGCAGAGGTCCCAGACGTGTTTAGCCTAGCTTAGCACAAAGACTGGAAGCAGAGGGAAACTGCTAGCATATTCCCAGGAAACAGCTGGATCTCAACTCCCACCGTTCTGCCTGAGTGGTGGGTTATTGTTTTAACAGGTTCATCTCAAAACCGTCTTTCCTGCATTGCAACATGTTGACAACCGTCTTCACCGACCAACCTAAATGTTGTCGTGTTATCGCTGCAAAAAGTTTCGAGTCTCTGGACGTTGACTATCTTGGAAATTAAACATTTTATCGCAGGAAAGCTTCTCCTGACTGAGTTTTCTCTTTCTCTGATGATTATTTCCTCGATTCAGTTTCAACCACTGGCTGGGATTTTTGTTAACCTCACAATAAACGACTGCGCCACCCCCTTCCTTTATCTGAGCGAATATATTTGCATAATTTACTCTGGATTATCTTTAATTTATGCAGAAACTGCTTTCCACTTGTTAGGCTGAATGTTTCCAAGGGGGGGGGGGCTAATAAAATGAATTGTACTCTCACAGAGTTTTTACATGCCTTTCCTGCAAACTGCACAGAGTGATTTTTCCTGTGACCTGAAGTGATCGCTAGAGAAAAGCCAACAGGCCAGATAGTGAGACAGATTTTTATTTTCTCTTTCCCCTTTTATTAGTATGTGACTCATTCAATAGAGACGTTTTCTCACGGTGCCCAGCCCTCACGATCTAACGGCAGAAAACCTGCTGCTGTGAAGAGGCAGAAAACAGTTCTGCACAGATTATGGATCCTGCAGGGAGGGCGGGGGGAAGCAGCCGCTGATCGATCACAGGAAGTGAATGTGGTGATAGGAACATTTTTTAAATCCTGCCAGGAGCAAATCTTTACTTTCCAACACAACTTATATTAAGAAGAGGTTTGTATGATATCTCACGAAAAAGTTACTCCTCATTTTTTGTGCGTTTTCCTACAAAAGTCCAGCAACTGGTGTTAATTTCTGCTTGTTACATGCATACGGTCCTTTCAAGATAAACTTCTGTCTTCACAGAAAACTACTTAGTTAGGTTCAGGCACCAAAACGACTTAACTAGCTTTAGGAAAAGGTCGTCGTTTGGGTTGAAATTACTACGGAAGTGCTGTTACTGAAGTACGCAAATTACATAATAAACGAATGAATGTTGACAGGTAAAGTGCGTCTCCATTTGACTAACAAAGTTAGCAGACAGTGAGCTTTTAATAGAAGTTTTACGGTATATCATAACTCTGTGTACGTGTACATTGAACCACGCCAAACAAATGTTTGAAACACATGATAATACATTTTAATTTCTTTTATTTGTATGGAATTGTATTAGTTTGTTTTACATATTTATCCTGACTTTGATAGGGGTCGATGGGTTCGATTGTACTGCAGGTATTTAATTGTTAGCGCAGTTAGCTGCTAGCCGCAGGCTCAGACATCTCCGTGTTCAGAGCGGCTGTTTGGCTTGTAGCTGCTGCGTTTGTGGGCCGATCACACGTGGCGTTAAATTGAAGAACACTTGCAGTGATTTGGCTGCGATTGATTTTTCAGGATCTGGGCACAAAAAAGTATCAATAGTAGGTATTGTTTGACCGGAAACGTTTTAATACTACCTGGTACTGGGTTCTTTCAACCTCCCAATAAAGGTTTTTAGATAAACTGGGTAAACTGTGTTTGTCTGAATGTCTGACTGACTTCAGCAGACTTCACCGTGTTTCCAGACTGGATGTGTTATTATCAATAAAAATGATGGACAGATGTAAAACCTGAGTTGTGAATGAACAGCAGTCATGTGTCATTTTGAGTTGCCTAAACTACTGCTGGCGTGTTGTCATCCCACTGATGGATCAAAACGCTCACGTTTTATTCTGAGGTCCACTAACAAACAACCTATTTGATCATTTAGGTAACTTTTAACTTCCGGTCTGCAGGACAAACAGCTCTTTCTTCTTGTTTCAACACGAATGGAGGAAACAAAGTCGAGGTGATAATAAGTTTCCTTTTACAGTCACAAGAAAAAAAGCAAAGCAGACATCCTTCTCAGATCCACAGACGGGTTCCACCCTCGGATGATGTTACGTGGGAAAGAGCAGCGGCCATTGAAACGAACGGACAACAACGAATCCCCGAGGGAAGGTTCAGGGCGTCTTTAGGACATCAGATAAGTTTTTATTGTTTTATTGTGTTTTTAAGCTTTATTTTTTATAGACTCTGCTGAGCTTTGTGCTCGTCTTCAGCTCCGCCCTGATTCAAGTTAACGCAGGTCAACACATTCACCACACCGCCTAGATATTGTTAACCATCTACAATACATACAGATTTCTATTATATTTAGATAAATATATTTTGAATATGAATACAAATAAAGAAAATAAAAAATAAATAATAAATAATAAAATTTAGCAAAGGATTGAAAACAAATGAAAACCTGAAAAATAGAATAATAATTGAGATTTCCGGTTTGATTTGGTTTGGAGGAGGGACTTCATGTTTTAACTGGAGCTACGTTCCACTGAAGAAGTATGAGGACACATTATTTTGTGATTTGGGTGAACTGAACCAGCAGCAGTGGATATAGATATGCAGAGGATAATCCCCCCCCCCTCTATCAATACATGGATTGAGGTAATGAGGTCATGTCATACAGAACAGACTGGGTGTCATTAAACCCCCTCACCCCTCACCACACTCACTTGTGCCCCTCCCTGCTGACAGCGGGGTCAGAGGTCGGGCTCTGCTGGTAGCAGTCAGGTTCAGAGCCCTCTGGGGATCCTCATTGAACCCACGTGTGTTTCTGTCACAGTGCCGGTCTGATCCATCGATCACACGGGTCAAGTTCATAACAGAGTCCGATTTTTATTTTATTCATTTATTTTATGAATGTCTTCATTTGTTCTTTTTTATTTATTCTTTTATTTATTTATTTAATTATATTTGTTATTTATCCTTTATTTAACCAGAGAGGTCCCATTGAGATACAATACCTCTTCAGCCAGAGAGTCCTGGTCAAATCATTGTTACTGTTCAATTCATCACATGTATTGACTTGAGAAGCTGGTGATGATCGATGCAGTATGTCAATATTCACGTCTTCAGTAGGAACCAATGGACTTGGAGCTGAGAGCCACAGACAGGAAGTCAGGAATTACTGAGAGACACAACAACAAACACATTGTTGCTTTTGCTCTTTTCGTGGGATTTTATAGACAACAACAAAAGAACAACACCAGACTGATGCCTTGAGGTTATGTGTCAAACCTCCAGGGACACAAATACCTTTAGACACATAGAAACCTGAAGCACAGGTGGAGCCGACTGCAGGAATCCTGAGCAACACGTGTTTATTCCAGAAACATCCTTTACATGTAAACACCTCAGTAATTGGATGTTTAATTGAGGTGGAAATGTCTGCTTTGGCATATTTAGGAGTCCAAACAAACGTCCGTAT